ATATGTACAATGATGCTGCGCACGAAAGGCGTCTTTCTGTTTCTTCCTGTTGTACAGATGAAGAATAACGAACAGTCATGGTACGCTCTCAAGGACGATAATCTGCATGGTCGAGCAAGAGGCTCAATTCTACTCGAGTTCTTCTTCGTCTATAATCACGTATGTTTGCACAACGACTGTGGGACATTTTTTTCTGTAGGATACCACTCCTTTATGACAAGTCAACCGTTTCTAAGACCAGGTTTGCAAGAAAATAATACCTAAAGGAGCTGATCCTCGCCACGCTGAAGAAACTCTTATTCTACCCTAAAAGCTGTTCATTTCACTTTATTTTACCAAAGATAGGCAATCAAGGCGTAGCTTGCAGTGTTCAGTTTCGAGCTAAAAAGAACACGCAACCAAAATGGTTCGTCACCTTCGCTTGTGGTGTGCTTTGCATCAAAGCTAACTGATTGAGAGGCTCAAGCAGTCGACCAGTGCATGGCAAAAGAAAAAGAAGAATAGCGGTGTGAGTTCCCAATTATCGGCAAAACAATCAGCATATTTCTCTGTCGCAATCCTACCAATTGCAGTTCGCTAGAAGTTGTTGCTCAGAAGGCTACCAACTGATGACCTAACTAGGTCTACATGGTGTGAATTCGAAGTAACTGAAAGGCTGAGAGTCAGGCTGCAATGGACCCTACTTAACGCGGCCTTACTGGCACTCCAACATATGTTAGGCGCATTTATAGTAGCACCAAATACGCATGAGAGTTAAGGTCGTAAGTTGCACGCGCAGACGGGCTGGTTAACTTTGCTGGCCCCTGTATCCGAGTCCGCCGCCGCTCGTTTTGACACTATCCTGCTATCAGAGCCAGGTAGGTGAGAGAATAGAGGGTGCGGTGGAGGCTAACCAGGTCTGCCTCGCTATCAACTGAGTTGCGTGCAATTCATTGGCGCTGCGCTCACTGTGTGCGTCTCGCAGATGACGTCGTCGCTGGCAGGTAAAGCCGACAGTTCGATGGTCGTTTCTGACGAGATCTACCCTGTGCTCCACAGCAGGGA